CAAGACGTTTCGCTTCAATTTACGATGAACGATATTGAGAATTTAATAGATTATGGCATGGATTGTTACTGTGAAATAATAATGACCATGACGCAAGAAGCTTTAGGTATTGTGTATCTATGTATGCTAGATATATAGCTAAAGTCAAACAAATGATATAATTATGATGTAAGTAGATTGAGGATTTTTATGCATTTATAAAAAAATTCAGAAAATTTGAAAATGCATGCAACACAGTAATGTAACATGCAAAGACGTGTAAAATATTCAGAGTTTAATGCTCTTTATAATGTTTGACCATGGAACGGCTATGCTGGATCATTTCTGATCCAGCCAGAGTATTTTCTGTGCTAATTATAAATAAATAAAAAATTTTAGTTTCCTTCTTTTCTTTATATAAGTATAATATAATTATAATATAATTATAGTATAATATAATTATAGTATAATGCCAATATAGTACCAATATAATACCAATATAATACTAATAATTATACAATATTATAATAATTATATTATAGTATAATACCAATATAGTACCAGTATAATACCAATATAATACTAATAATTATACAATATTATAATAATTATATCATAGTATAATACCAATATAGTACCAGTATAATACCAATATAATACCAGTATAATACCAATATAATACCAGTATAATACCAATATAATACCAATATAGTACCAATAATTATATAATATGATATAATATAATTATAGTATTAATTATAATTATTTAATATAATATAATATAATTATAGTATTAATTACAACTATATAATATATAAATATAATATAATATAATATAATATAATATAATATAATATAATATAATATAATTATAACTATATAATATAATACACTATAATTATAGTATAATTATAACTATATAATTAATATAATATAATTATAGTATTAATTATAACTATGTGATATATATAATATAATATAATTATAACTATATAATATAATACAATATAATTACAGTATAATATAATTATATCTATCATTAGATGATATTTAGTACCAATAATTCCGATATGGATTGAAAATAATTTTTCAAATTACATCATATATTTTTTTTTTATTATCTTCCTAATAATACAAAATTGGATCCAACATTCATAATGTATACGTAAGAGTGTCAAAATCCTAAAGAATGGTACAGCAGAAGTTACATGAACTTTAAACAAACGTTTCGTTAGTCCATTCTGGGATTCAGCTGCAAATATACAAAGAAAATTGAAACTGCGCGAACAAAAATTTTAACAATAACAAAATGCACCTGGATCCACGATATTTGAAAGTTTCTTTTAATATTTCGTCAGTGGGGGAGGAGCTGTACCTTCTTGATATAGTATATAAGAAGAGAATGTACGTATAGTCAAACAGCTTAATAAAAAATTATTATAGTATGGGAGAAGATTGAAAACAAAACATGCAGTAGACATATTTAATGTAACAGAGATCATTAAACACCAAATAATTAATTATATTAATTAATAATATTAATGTTAACACAACTAGCTTCTAATGTATAATATTAGCTAAAGGTAAAATTAAAAAAAAATTTTAATTAGAATTTTAATTAGAATTCGTACAGATAGAAATTGATTTTTCCCTGTATTAATTATGTTTCGTTCATATAATAGTAGTCCAGGTTGAAATAAGTGGATGCAATCAGCAAAAGTTCATTTATAGTAAAATACTCTGTTAATATGAAATCTGTTTTGATATTTGAACCAAATTTTACCCAATATCTGATTAAATGGATTTTTACTGATTTGAGTGAATCCACTAACAGCAAAACCTCACGTATAGGCACTTGCTTTATATAATACTAGTCAATACCGAGCCTCAGGTATGCGAACTCATGATCGATCAACTTCTGCTATCTTTTATTACATATATTATTAAACAAATAAAAATAGGGTAAAGTGAACTTCTATTATCCGAACTCGTCGATTATGCTAACGGCCCCCAACATGTTCAAATAAATGAGGTTTTACCGTATTTGAACTCGGTATGACTGAAAAAAGTCATTAATAGACAAGTTCATATAAGTGGAGTCCCACTTCGCAATCAAATAATCATCGGAATTTTCGTTTCAAATAAATGGAAACTCCACTATAGAGGAAAGTATAAGAATATGAAATAATTATCTTTCACTTGGAAAATCGGAGAACATACTTGTAAATAAAAAAGAGACTCGAATAACTTTCATAACAAGGAATGACATAAATACAAAGGACAACATAGACAAATTTTAACAAATTTTAAAAGAGCAGCTATTGCAGGGAGGAGTGTTATAATCTTTATGATAGATATGTTTATTTAATTTCCAATCATTGTTAAAGACCAATCATTATAATTTCGATACTTTATATTTAAAAAAATTATACTACATTAAAAATTATATTTATATTAAAAAAAATTATATTATATACAATATTATGTTATAAGGAACTGGTTCGCCTGTTTTTAGAATACAAGTTGAAGGATGTCGATTTCCTTAATTTCGTAGACTGTATAGTGAACCTTAGGCCATGAAATTTCCATCTCTTCGACATCGAAGGCTGTGGAAAGTGTGGAGTTGTGTTACCTTTAGGCCATGGGACTGCGATTGTTCTCGGGATTTCCAGGCTTTAGATTTTAGATTTGCCTTGGACGACACTAAAGTCTCAATGTCTTCACGAACTTCGTGATCCTTCCGGGATTTCCAGGCAGTCTCTAGTATCGTGGGACCACGAGGACGGCTAGGATCTCTAGACTTTTCACATGGATTTTCTAGAATTTCCACTATCTTCACGAGGCATATTCGAGATTTGAAGGATCTCCAGAGATCTTCTCGGGCTTTCTGAAATATTAAGAGTCTCCGATCTCTCAGACATCAGCTCAACTTTTTCAAGATATCTCCTAGATTTCAAGATTCTTCTCCGAGATCGGCTTTCCTGATTTGTGAAATTTCTCTCCTTCAGATCTTACGAGTCTCGGAATTTTTTAAATTAAATCTCCAGACGACTTCAAGAGATTTCCTTCTCTTCTTCAAGTGTCTCGTTTTCTCATTCGGAATATTGGCTTTTTCTTTCGCAGGTTGTTCACCAACAATAATTAGAGATCTGGAGTAGATAGACTATCATCTGTATAATCAATATCACGAAGATCGTTTACGATCGTTAATGAACTGGAGAATGTATTGGCCGTATTCTGTGTACGAACTACGTGAACAGGATGTCAAATAAACGTCCTTGCTCTGAACTTGCTATTCGCCACTTGCTGATAAGACGATGACATTCGCTTATCGCTGAGAGAGAACCGAATATTATATAATTTTCTAATATTTTACTAGATGGTTCGTTCAATGGCAGAGAAAACGAGAGTCGAGGAAAAACGCGTAA